AGCTTTCTCTGGCCAAGAATCCACAAATTTCCATAATAATCAAATCATATATTTCCATATTAATCAAATATTTTTGGAGAGGAGGAAAGACTCAACATCTTCATGGGAGATTCTTGTCTTGCTAGTAAATTTATGAGGCTGGTTTATACCTACAATAGCAAACATGCACATTTTAATGGTAATCCATCATTTTTGAAGGCATATTCTTTTGTTATCACGCTGCATTCACTCTCAGAGTTACAGGCATTTATTTATCTCCTCCTCAGAATGCTGGGAAACAAGCTAATACAAATCTCAGTACATCAGCAAGATGACAATAGATAGCACAGGAAAAACTGTTCCATAACCCAGTAGAAGTAGATAAAACTCAGTATACATCAAAATAATTTCAGAAGCAATTTTTGTATCTCTAGAGCAAACACAGTTTAAAAATTCCAAGTTATTCTATGGGGAACACTAAAGAAGTCACTAGTCTGGGGAGTTTCATAAAGTCAGCAGAATTACCTCCTAAGCAGTTTATAATCATCTAGTAAATGAACTCACTCTTGGTCTGCATTCTCCCACTGTATTTTCAGATTTAACACCATTGAAAACACATTAAAAAACCCCAAATTTCTCATAGTTTACTATGCTGGAGCTCTGCCCCAGCTGCCTTAATACATAAAGCTTCTGTCCTTTGGGGCCTCTTAAACCCTTCTGTACTGGGTTTGGCAGTCTAAATCAGACACTTTCCTTACCACACTTAGGACATGGCCACTTGTGCAGACACATAAAATAAGATCTAAACAAAGTAATTGGTTTGCCAAGGGCCACAGAGGAAGGCAATGGGCAGGGCCTGGAGCAGGACTCAAGAATTTCTGAAATTTGGGAGGATGAAAGAACTCATAGGATCCTCCAGAAGTGCTAAGGATAACTTACTCAGGTAGCTGAACACCTCACTTCAATTTGATCCAAAATGTTACCAACTGAGGTTTACAAAATGAACTGTGTTTCTAAGACAGGGAGGTGATTTTTATATTTAGAAGAAAAAGGGGGAGGGGGGTTGAAAACCCCATCAAGACCCACAAAACAAGTTTCCCAAAACTTTGGAGAACTAATTCCCAAAGTCAGTCAGGTAGTGACATGTATAATGAGATGTGTACACAGTGCTGCTTCCTAACCAGAGGTTCTTACCACTAGGGCCTGTAATCAAAGGAAACAGGTCCAGAGAGGATTTCACATCAGGGTACAGATTAAGGCTTCATTAAAAATTCTCTTTGTACTCCCTGGAGTGGCACGTGAGGCCACACAGATCCCTCTAGTCATGCAGAATGGTGAAGGCTCCTTCTTATTCTGAACATTAATCTTTCATTTTTATCAGATTTTCTGAACTAGAAAACCCCACCAAAAAAACATAAAAACCTATAAAAGGGATCTTGGTATATTTTCCTTTTGTGCCTTTGATGAAATGTGGATGTATTTTTCATTTTTACATTATTTTAAGAATTTTCTTCCTGAAGAAAACATCTCATGGTCACAACCCTGCAAGTTTTGGGACTGCATTTAGCAGGTAACCTAAGAGAGGAAATTACTAATGGGTAGGAGTAAGAACCAGATCTTGCTGTGATTGTCTGTTGTGACTCACAGCAAATCTAAAGACTTTTGCATTTCATTCACTGCAAAAACGTGCAGGAAATGGAAAGGTGTGAATTTACATATATCTTGGTTCAAAGGAATCCTGAACACTGCAAGTGCCACTTGCCTACACCTCCCTCCTCTCTCCTGACTCTCCTAAGTAAAATCATACAAATTTAAGTAACTGTAGAGTAATGTCTACTACTGCATAACTCAATTCCACACTTCCAAAATGCTGTCTGCCTGTAACATTAGAGCAACCTACCTCATCTGTATCACTCTCACTCCTGAAGGGTGTCTGGAAAGTGGTCTCCTCCCAAACTGATGGCACAAAGGTTAAGCACACCTTAATAAATCAACCTCTAGCAAAACTGGCTGCATTTTAAGAGATTAAATCCTTAGAATTAGATAGTTCCTGCTAGAAGCCTCTCAAGGATGTCAGGATGGTTCTGATGGGAATATGGAATTCTCCTGGACAAGCACTGCAAAGCCAGAAGAGCAGTTCCTTCATGCACAACACATCATTAGTGCATCATTGCTGAGCTGATATACTGCTGCTGAGAAAATTAACTCTCATGAGCCTGCTTCATTCTCCACATAATCCCTGAGTAAATCCAGGCAAGCTGGAACAGCCACAGAATATGTTTCAGCAAACACCTTCTCTGATTCCATATGGAGTCAGAGGCTGAGTAAGAAAAAAAAAATCTCTTCAATATAAACTCCTGTAGTTACTGGTAAGAATTTTGCCTGAGTAACCACTAACAGTGTAGAATGGAAAGAGGGATGAGAGGCTTTGCTTCAGGCCAGGAAAGATAAATGTCCAATTTTCTTCTACTTTCAGCAAGCCCTGAGGTCTCGATGTCTCCTCAGAAAAGGAGAGGCTGATAAGCAGAGGGGCAGTTGCTCACTGTTTCTCTCCTTCATGATGCAGAGCATCCAGCAGCACCTTGAGAGCTGCTGGAGCTCTCAGAGGGAGCTGCTTGTGGGGTGACAGGGCAGTTGAGACAGGGGAAGTTACTCCAGGAGGGTGGACATGGCTCACCCAGGAAGACCAAAAGTCTTCCTGCCACAGGAGGAAACCAGTGGCCAAACTGGAGAGACTATGGGAAAAGGAAAGCTTCTGTAGGGACTCACTGAATTTGTTGTGTCTGAAAAGTTATGAGAATTACTGGGACAAAAAAAAGAAAAAACTGGAGGGAAGGACACAACCCTGCAAGGACACTGCCACATCTGGAGGTAAACCTGTCTGCAAGTCATTCAATAACTGTGAGGATCCTACTTAGCAAGTTGTCCTGTTCTATTTGCCTGCTTTTGTGAGCTAGAAAGGTGATGCTGGGGCTGAGAACACTCTGCTTCTCTTGGTGGACTGTTCCTCCAAAAGGAAAGGGACATTTCCATGCCACTGCTACAGCCAACTCAGGCTACCATAGCTGAGGGGCAGGATGGAGAGGGAAACTCCCCATCATGAGATAGCTACAGATGTTATTTACAGTTGGGAGGCAAAATGACAATATAAGAAGGAATTTGACTGCTGTTTAAGTCAGTTGATTCCAACAGCCAGGATGGATAACTCCCTATAAAACTCTCTTAGTTAGCAGCAAAGTTAGGCCTGTATAGAAACCCTCAATTATTAAACTCTATTCAGGCTTTTTTTTATTTAAAAGGAAGTATTGTACCCATAAAATTCCTCTATCAACCTGTGCACACTATTGTACAGAATCTACCTCCAACACCTCAGAATTTTGGGCTTGGTAATAAAAACTTTGGAGAAATCGTAAAGGTTTATTGGTAATTCTTTCTCAGGAATATAAAGAGGGAAAAAAAAGAAAAGAATTGGCCCATGATTGACCAGGCTGTGTTATAGGGAGAGGCAGTGATGAAATCTGCAATGATGCCAGACAAGCAAAGGTCTAACTCATTTAAAGAAAACCTGGGGGAATGCTTTTTTACAAACTTTGATCAACGTATTTTCTACAGTTGCCATTTCAAGTAAATGACTTAGTTGTCTTAATTAGTCTATCAAAATACCAAGGGGGAAAAAAAAATTAGGTCACACTTCAAGCTTGTCTCTTTTCTAATACTCTGATTGGAAAAAGAATCCCTAACTTTTCAAAATCCAGTTTCTGAAGTAAGTGTTAAACACTTTTCCCATCCATTTCAGAGAAGCTGCCTGTGCTGTCTCTGGGATGGCTGTTACAACACTGGCTGCTGCTCTCCTGTCTTTCAAAGATATGAACCCCACACAACTCTTGCTGCCTCTTTAGGAGATAGAGCTACTCAGCTCCTGAGAAAATGAGATCTTGACTGAAGTCAATTTAATATCAGAGAAAAGTGTTCTCTGCTAGCCCTGACAGTCCCAAACACCTATTTATCCATCTCACAGGTGTGTTTCCCAGAGTGGCAGTAGCAACACATGCAGATGGATTTTGACATGACCTGCAGAGAGAGGGACAGGAAGAATTCACTCAGTCTGTTCCACTCAATCTGAGATTACAGGGAAAGGTTTCAGTGATAAAACACATTTTGTACCATAAGCACTTCCATGTTAGTAATTAGGGGAAAAAAACACTTCACTAAAGATGCTTAGTAAGGACTAAAGGGTTTTAGTCCATACTTGAGCTTCAGGGCTGTTCCCTGTCCAGACTAGCAGGCTAAGTGCCAAAAGAAGGAGTGACATGCCCATAGTGTCTAAGTTTAAATTTATTTAATACAAAAAAGTTTTACAAATCCACCATGCAATCCACCATGCACTCAACCTGCATCTAGTGAGGATAAAGTATGACTCTGTGCTGCTTTACCCACAAAATTCTTTTAGCTACAGAGGTCTGAGGGGTTTACAAGTATTAACTAAGATCAATTTTACTGAACCCGTGTGAAGAACGAACAGAGGACACAGACAAAAGCAGAAATGCTGTCTTTCCATTCCAGTTCTCTAGCTCATGCCTTCTTTTAGAACAATTTCATACACAAAAATGTTATCTCATCCTACAAGTCAGCTAATGATTCGATTCGACTCTTCGACTCACATAGGAAAAGGTATTTCTAAGGAACAAATAAACATGTGCCTCTTTAACTGTCTGATGTAGTGATTAGAACCGACTTGACGAATTATTCTCAGTAGATTTAGAGCCAGAAGGAATGCTTTCCACCTGTCTGCCAGTTAAAACAGGGGCAGTGTCAGAGACATTCCAGACAACTGATTTCTATGGAGCTTTTGCAACGATCTCTATCACTGCCATTCCTAACTCCTCCATATCGTGCCCATAGGAATAGGTCCTTTTAAGAACCCAGAGCTCTCCAAGGGGGTCATATCCATTGCAAGCAAGTTAAACTTACTGAATCCATTAACATCTTGGCAGCTGGAAGAAAAAGCTTCTTCATTGTGAACAGCACTGAGTTTGGTGGAGGTCTTGTCAGAAGCAGCCACGGGACCCATCTCCCTCTGCGTGCTGGTCTGAGTCTCCTTCTGCTTCTTGGCTAGCTTCCTTCGGGGTGGTTTGAAGAGGGGAGAAATCAAGGTCAGTTTTCCCTCATTAAAACCCAAGCACTGACAAAATATTTTGCCAAACCACAATCATCCCACTTGGTCAGACATGCAGGGCATGTGACAAACCGTACGAGAGGAAACCCCACAACCTTTTAATGTAACTGTTGTGGAGCACAATGTGATACCAGTCTTGGAGCTTAGCTGTCCCTCCCAGGCACTTGCACAAACCTGCATCACCCCAGCAGTAGGAGTGCTACCTCATCCTTGAAGAGGGTGGCATAGGTACAGCCCCTGGAGCTGGTGAGAGCTGTTCCAGGAAGAGCAGAGGGCTCAGGATGGGGACAGTGATCAGCACCACTCACTTGGAGGTAAGGGGACATCTGCATCCATCCCATGGGGTACCTGCACCAGGGCTTTTCTCTGAGTGCTCCAGGGGAACATGTGACCTGGTTCTGTGTGACCTGAGAGCTGGAGCAGAGGTTTGTCCTGTCCCCAAGTAGAGCAATGAGGGCAGCACCCTCCTAAATTCTGATACACACCCAAACTGCACTGAGAATCCACAGCCAGTGAAGGGTGGAGCAAATTAAAGCTGTTTTAGAAATGTCCAGCTATGTCTGTGGTCTGAGAAAAAGGGTCTTTTCTTATTCCGAGGAGTCATCAAAAACTCTGGCAAAAGCAGAATATTGCCTGCTCTGAAAACACTAACAAAGCCAAGAACATGAGAGGCTCCTCTTTTGCAAACACAGCTAATAATAAGCAAATGGAGAGAAGCAGGAAAAGTGAGTGCTAAGCTTCCACTGACATTTGACTGCCCTGTGCTTCCTTCGTATCAGAGAGCAAAACCCTTTAAAAATGAATGTGTGACATTCTCCAATCCACACCTTGAAAAAATATCACCCAAATCCCTAGTACCAGCAAAGAACTTTGCTTACACCACTTCCCTAGATAAGAAAATAAAACAAAACGAAAGGGAGAAAAACAGGTTACTGTAAGAAGGAGCTTTAGTTTTCTTTCTTTCCTCCAGCTCAAAAAAAAAAAAAATCCTAACAACTAAATCATTTTGCAAAGAGGTTTTTCTTTTCTAAAACAACATGCTTATGGTAAGTACTCCTCATCTTTTAAACTTCATTAGATTCTTAAAAGAGATACTCCTTGCAGCGTATTTATCCACAGAACATGTCAGAGTAGCATTTACAAGCAAGTTCAAGCACACAGCTGAGCCCCAGCCTTCAGGAGATGGGCAGCTTGGCCAGTTACACTCATTTGCAAAGAAGGGTCAAAGAGAGCTAAAACCTTTGCCTATTGTTTGTGGGAAAAGACTGTTTTTAAAGTAAGTGGATAATCCAGATCAGAAGAGTACAGATTTGTAGAGAAATGTCCAATGTTTGCTGCAAACTTTTGAACAAACACATCTGTTTCATCTGCTCAGCCAGTTGGGGTTCAACCTCTTATAGTTAGTTAGTGGTTCCAATCCAAACCCAGAGCTCTTCCAGTTGGGTACATAATCACAGGGGGCACGTTTAGATCTCCCCAAACCCCCATGGTGTATCCACTTCTGCAGATGAAGATGCAAACAGGGAAACAGTCCTTGAGTGATGAAGCAAAAAGCTGAAGCTTAATGATGTTAAAAGCTTTGCTTCCAGTGTTCAGCAATGTTAGCCACATTTAGTACCTATGAGCTGCAGACATGGGGGCTCCTATTTTTTGTGCTGTGGTACCTGAGGTAATTACAATAGCCTTGAAGTTATTAACCCTGCTGTGTGGGTCTATAATCCTCTAGATTTGCTAATCGTACATGCCTAGGTGAATTCTTTGGCAAGAGGAATGAAAACCACTCAGTGGGAAACACTAATCCAAAATGCAGAAGTCCTTAATAACAAGCACTCTGGACTGCTGGGGTGAGCCACTACAGACACTGATGCTTAAAAATGGTGAGTCAAAAAGGGTGACTTCCTTATCAAATCCCAATTATTTGTGGCAATAATTATCTGTAAGTCCCCATTGCCTGGTATCTTTTTAGAAATGCCAACAAGCTACAAAGAGCCACAATTGGCAAACTTGTTTTCTCTGGGAGTGAATGAGCAACAACATTTCTGCATGTCCTAGGCAGGAGAAAATAACCCCAAACCCAAGCCCATTAGTCCCCAAAGGCCTGCTTACAAAAGCCCTATGCAAAGGAGTTCTACCTGGTCCTGTAGAAGACAGAGAGGCCCCTAAAACATTGGCTTGAATGCCTAAAAAGAAAAGGTGACATGAGTTTAAAGGTCTCAACCTAACTTGCACACACAAACTGGCCACCACTGCTCAGGATGCTGCAGGGGCACCAGCGAACACGGCGAACGCTTCTGCATCTGACACTGCTACAATTTGCTTTCCACACTGTGTTATCAGTTTCCACCTTTCTCCCTCTCTATTCCAAGAATGTAAAAATTCTTCATCTAAATTTAGAGGGGAAAAGGAAGACAGATCTCTTTTGAGGATTTCAGAGCTAAGCTTGCCAGGCACATCAAGGGGCTCTCGGTTTCTGAAAGTGCCTTTTCTGCCGCCGTTCCGTGTCTGGGTAGAGTGGCAGCACAGGACTAAGCCTATTTGGTCCTCCCCATCGTTATAATTCATAGAAAGGATTATAAAAATCAAATGACTAGCACTTTCCAGAATGTTAGGGATGTGAATTAAACCCACAGCTAGGTAGAGGTTTATTTCCCAGCATGTCAAAATGCCTTTGGAATTGGGAAAAGCATTTATCTAGAAATGCTGTTTCCAAAAATAGGGAGCTCTGAGAGATCTCAGTGAATCACTGACAAGCCACATCGGTGACACAGCTCCTGCTCTCCCCACTGACCAACCTCCCCTGAACACAGCCCCTGCAATGCCCCAGTGAAGCTGCTAGCAGAGCATTAGTGTCAATCACGGGCTGGCTGCGAGTGCCCAGTGTCCCCAGCACAGCCTGGCACCAGGCATGGAGCAGACACTTCCCCACTCATGCATTGTGCAGCTGAAAAGGGGAGGAAATAAAGGACCAGGCAGATATTTGGAAGAAGAGTCCGATATAATCAACACAAGGTGAAGAGACTGAAATGCCCAAATGTGAGTGAGGTGATGTTAATGGCTGGTTTGTGCTTAAGGGTAAGGAAAATGTGCCAAGAAGGAAACAGGAGTCCATGGATGGGGTTTAGTTGGTTTCCTGTTTCAGTTCAAGAGGGTTTGTAAATAAAGAGGTGATGTTTACAAGCACCACACACACATGGGAGGGATGAGACAGAAAGACACTCAAGTTGAGTAAAAAATATGAAACCAGCTGTATAACCAGGCAGTTGACACTGACCCCACTAAAGCAAGGAAAAAACTATTGGCAATGAACCTCAGCTAAGTGTGGGCTTGGAAAAAAATGATGCAGATTTGGTTCAGTTATTTTTGAAACTTCTACTCCTATCAGAGACTAGACATAAAATCTGAAGCACTACATTAAAATTGTAGGAGTTCCACTTAAACAGTCAAGAAATGCAAACTTGGTGTCAAGTACAAACCATTTACTGCCATGGGCATTAATCAGAAAGCTCAAGCAATATTTTCAGCTGGAAGTATCTGCAGGATCAGATTCCTCTTTTGCAGAGGTTTGGATAAACGTCGGGGATTATTTTTTTTTAAACAGCTTCAAACTCTTCTCTAACTTTTTCTATCACTTCTACATGCCTGAATGTTAAATCTCTAACTGCCTCTCCTCAAGAGCTCTCCTACATGGACGTTGACAGATTTAATTTTAGATGTTTCACAAGGATGGATTATATACACTCTAATGCAGATTTGCATGCACAGGTAATTTACACATTAGGTATAGATCACCTAAGTTAAACGTGAAATTTCCTCCTACAGACACGAATTGCACATTGCTCTCGTTTTCAATAAGCAATTGAAGAAAGCCACAGAATAAAATTCCTTTTAGAGAACTGTGCATGGCAAACTGCTAGGAATACACATAATATTTATGATGAAATCTGCACCAGTTTAAGGCAGGCAGTGACAAGCTTTGCAAACATCAGGGAGCACTGGTTAACCAGCAGATCTATTGATAAGGTTCTCCATCCCCTGAACCTGTAGTAGATCACAAACTCAAGTTGGAAGAACAACTTCATGCTGGTGTGAAAATCAGGGAGGGATTATACATGGCATTATAATCTGCAAGCCCTGGGTAATCCTTTTGCTCTGATTCCTCAGTCAGAGAGAGGACTCTGCTGCAACATAAGGCACTTCAAATAAGATGTGTGCCAAAGGGACACACACTAAGGAGGACAAGAAAGGGAAAGCTAGAAAACATGACCTACAAGCAAAGGCCAAAGGAAATACGGATCTTTCATCTAGAGAAAAGGAAATCAAATAGTTTTGATAGGTGTTCAAACATATGAAAAGGCACCACAGAGAAGCTGTTCTCACTGGCTGCAGGGGCTAGGGAGTAAGTAATTGGGCTCAGCTATGGGAAGGAAAGTTCACTTTAAACTTGGAGAAAGCTCAATGCAGGAGAAGCTGCAGCAGGCAGGCTGAGAAATCTTGGTCACTGCAGGGCTGTAAACAGCCAGCCAGAGGAATGAGAGTCCAAAGCACTGCTGTCAGGCTGGCACGTGGATCTCCTCCAAGCTCTGATGGTTGGCTTAAATCTGCCTTCATCACCCACTCCCCTTATACTGCCTGCAACCTCAGCAGGGCTGGGAAACATTCCTGGCCTAAGCACGTGGGCAGTTTACTGCTTCTGATAGCCACCAGAAGGGCAAATCCTCCACTTAAAGCAAGTGCACAGGCAGCTTCACTTGCTCTTTCTTAGCACCTGCCATGGTGAAGCCAAACTCGGTGTAGGTTATGGCAGGAGCAGAGGAGGTCACTGCAGTAAAGGTGAAGTGAAGAGCAAGGACCACTGTTACTTGACAGGAGAACATGAAGTAATGTAGAGATAAGTCAAGATGCCCTGAGTATTTTGTACTGTGTGTATGCAAACTCAGGGTCTTGGGAAAAATGATCTAAGCTTCATTTGATGCAATTAATCACTATTTGTGGAGGACATTTATTTTATAGCCACAGAAGCTTTAGACAGGTGCATATAAGAGCCATCCAGTATGAGTATATACTGGTACAGACAGCCACAAACCCTGCCCTCTGCAAAGTTTAGGCTTGTAATCACCACACAGACATGTTCTAAATCAAATCTCACCTACTTTCTGCGTTTTCATTAAATTTTTTTAACATTTCCACAGCTGCTGATTAGGTATTCTGTTTTTCCAGCATCTAATGAGAAAACCATCTAATGAGAAAGTTTCTTCTTAAAAAAATCCTGATTTAGTAAGCTGACCTGTGCAGGCAGATCCCACCATCCATGGAAATCTATGGAGATATTTATGTATGAGTGTGGTTACACAGAGGTATGGCTATAAATAAAATAACAGGATTTTTCTTTTCGAATGTCCTACAGACAGTGGAAAGAAATTCAGCACAAACTCTGTTATTTCAGAAAATGCAACTAAAAATTTAGCTTAATAACCTTTTCCCATGAAAAGAAACTCCCAGCTGAAACCACCACAACAATTAAAATTGGGATGAAATTCCAATGGGAGTTGAAGGGGCTTCCTACACAGCAGTTGTGTCCCTGGAGCTCTGGCTAGTTCAGGGCAAAAGGAGAACACATTGTGGCCATTGAGTGCCCTTTTCTTATGGATAACATTAAACTGAGTACTTGTATCACATACATGATTGTCTACATTTCTAGAAATACTTCCCTGGTCTGACATCTCTCTTGATTAAATTTCATTCTGTAGCCATTACCCAGCCCAGGAGAAAGAAACAAACTAAACCAAACCACCCACACAGAGAAAACATTTCCATTCCTCTTCCTGGTGAGAAAATAATAAATCCACTATATGGGTTGCTGCAGTTGAAAATACTGTGGCAAAAGAGGTGTCTGTCACTAAATGCAAACCCTCCTGTAAAGCAGATGAATTGCTGTCAGTGTTTTACAGCTCCAGCTAGGAAAAAACCCCAAACCTTTCAGGCATGGGTGGGTTGATACCTTACACTGCCCATTAAACTGAAGTGCAAGGTGACAGACAGCAATTCTGTACCAACCTTAGTCACCACTTGTATGGGTGTAAATACAGAGTAACTCCTCTGAAAAGGTTCAGGCATCACCCTGGGGACAGGGATACAAGGAGTGCACCAGGACAGGAACTCCTCATTCCATCTCTCTCTCTTCCCAGTGCAAACATAAGTTGTGTCCCAGGATCTCAAATCATTAGCAATGAGCTTTTGATGATGGGCAAATTGAAGTACACCATGTGATGTCCATCCTGCACAATGAATTACAGGCTAGGAACAGAGGTTTCCTGGGTTGGTATTTCAACTTAAAGCATGTTTGAGATCTTTATGGCCTTCTCTTTCATCCTTTCCTGTATGTTGTAGGAAGTTTTTAATTAAGTGTTCCTATGCAAAAATCCCTTAACTCTTTACATATAACTATGTGTGCCCAAAATAGCTAAAAGAGCAGCTTGTGTAAATGACTGTTTTTGGCTGGTTGCACCAGAGCTGCAGGTACTCAACCATCTTAAAGAATCACATTTTAGAGTCCTGGATTGGAGCAGGGCACAAGGCTGACTGAAGGGAGAACTCCAGTCTAGAGATCACCACGATGCTGTGGTCTGTCTCTGCAAAAACCTGTTACTCATGACATAAGTCTCTGTGATTTGAATAGAATTATCACTAAGAACAGTTTAGAAGAATTAGGCTTGGAGATTTTGATCCCTAACAAGAAGAAATGCCAGTTGACAAAGGGTAGAGAGGAATTAGCTGAAAGCAGACAAGGATTGCTCTAAGAAGCACAACTTTGAAGTCCAGAAACTGAAACCAAACTAAAGTGATGCAGTCCATATGGTCACATTTGAAGGTCTGCCAACAGATCTGTTTGAAAACCTGCTTTTCAATTCTGGTAACTCATTCAACTGAATTTTGCTGCAGGACTAAAATATTCATACAAGGTCATAGCATGGAAACCAATTCTATTTAAAAAAGCTATATATATACACATATTGCTGCTCTTATTTTCACAACATTTCAAATAAATCAAACCTCTCTGCTCATAGGAGGCTGTAGCAATTTCTATCAGCTTTGCCTAAGAATTACACAGTCCTTAGCAATTTCAGATTTTCATCTGCATCATAATGAAACACACTATTTCATGTGAAATTTGAAACATGAAACTCAATAGAACTTCATCCTATGCTCCTTCATGGATTCTCCTGCTTTCTTCCCTCACTACTGGAACAACCTTTGTACCCTGACTGTTGTTCAAGGGAAAAAAGAAACAGAGCTTGGTTTTTCCAATGAGGGAACAGACCAAATGTCAATCTGAAACCAAATGCTGACACACACAGCCTGAGGATGGATGTGTGATGACTATTTATGTGCTGCCTCTACTATCATGATGCTCCAGCTAGCAGAGATCATGCTTGGTGGGGTCCCAGGGACACAGAGCTAAGAATGAGCTCTCTGCAAAAAAAAGGTGGGTGCAGAACTAGGTAGGTAGAGTTACATGATCTCTGCTCCACTCTCCACTGGCTGCTATGAACTCAAACTTGCCTGATGATACCTCTGGATTTTCTCTCAGGGTGGACATCTGCCTTATTAAATCATAACAAAGCCCTTGCTCCTGCCTCTGCTGAAAGCTCATTGCAACCTCAGGCTTGGGTAACCTCCAGATGTTTGTCTCTTCACTTTTCCTGAGTCACTATCTTGTTCCCTGAGAAAAAAAAAATCTAGAAAATTGACCCACAGAAGCTATGACAAGACAGCAAATAGACCCTTTAAGGATCCCTGTGCTGCTCTAGCAGAGCAGTGCTCAGCTGACTGCTTAAAGCAATGTTGCACAGCTCTAAAAAGGGTTACACAGAGCTCAGAAGTTTATTCATCTTTTTAAATACACAAATCTCAAAATAAAATAAAGCAGGGAACATTCTGACCATATACTTCCTGCTGGAAGAAGGCAAAATTATAATAGAAAGCCTGGGACTGAATTTTTCAGGCAATAGTGCTGACTGTTATAAGAAACCAGAACACTAGAACATGAGAAATGTGCAGAAGAAGAAAGGTTGTATGAAGAGATGTAGTAGCACCTATGGTGTTAAAACCATCCCCTACTTCAACACTTAGTTAAGCTTCTCCTGAAACCTGTCTACTAGGTCAAATTCCATTCTTGGTGTGAAGTCTAGAGGAAATGGAGTTACTCTGCATTTACAGTTACATCACTGGGCAAAACCAAGGCTCGTGACGGTGTCCTCAGGCTCTTCACACACTTAGCAAGTGGGTAGGGTTCCTCTTTCAGTTGTTTCCTGAGAGGTCATTGAGAAGCAAAACCCTTCCAACTGATGGTACATAGGGATGCTCATACTTAAGTCCTCTGCCCTGTTCTTTGGATGTAAAACGACTTATATGGGAAAGAAGTCAAGCTCCCTTAAAATGGTAGCACAGTAATGCACTTACTTTGCTGACCAGCTGAACACCTTCCAGGTGTGTCTCCAGGACAAAGTCCCAAGATCAAGGTAAAGAGGGACTGTAGGAACAGGCTAAGGAGAAGTTGCTGGAGCTGCAGTCCAGGAGGGACTAGCAGGGCAGACATGGCCCTTTTGACAACCCTGTGGATTTCAGAGCCCTGACAAGTCTGGCAGTTTGCTGCTTCTGAGGAAGAGGTTTAGGTCAGTGATACAGCTGCTGCTTCTGAGACATGGAGAGTGCAGACCTGTTCCTCTAAGCAGTAACAACAGCCTTGTCCATCCCTCCCAACCCCCTGGTGGCAGCCAAGGCATCCAACTCAGTTCTCCAGGACGCTTTCCTCAGATCATTGACCCAGTCCTCTCCTCCTCCTGATCCTCAGACAACTATTATCATGGCAGAAACAGCTTGGCCCTGATTAGTTTCCAGCCCCTCAGTCTTTAGACAACAGATGGCTCTGGAAGTACTGATGTGTGAAGCATTTTCATGTGCCTTAACACCCTCCTTAATTATGCAGCATTGTCATTAGGACTGGACAGATGATTTACGTCTGAATATCTGAACTACTTCAACATCCAATGGTCTGAACCAACACTCAGAACCTGGCAACTCCAGGAACAGGGATGTTTGCTGAGATAATGTCAAGTCCTAGTTGTCAGAAACCTTACCACTTTTTAAAAGCTTAAATCCATGGCTGAGAAATTCCCAACAGTACCTTCAGGTGTGAATTTCCCTGAAGTCTGGCTAAGTATGATGGACAATGAAAAAAGGTGCACTTGGGACACTCTGTCCATTAGCATTTATAGAATCATAGAATAATTTAGGTTGTAGAAGACCTCTAAGATCATCAAGTCTAACTGTTCCCCCAGCACTGCCAGGTCCATCACCATACCATGGTCTCAAGTGCCACATCTACATGTCTTTTAAATCCCTCCAGGGATGGTGACACCACCACTGCCCTTGGCAGCATGTGCCATGTCTGGACAGTCCTTTTGGTGAAGAAATTTTTCCTAATAGCCAATCTAAAGAAGAACATCCAGTCTGAAGGTCTAAAAACCATAACTGACATCTCTGTGGACACTAAGGTGTTTGCAGGCACAGTCACAGGTGCAATGGTGAAACAGGGAAAACACAACAGTGTGCAACCGAGAAAAATCAAACACAAGCTGCTGGAAAGACAAGGAGAAATGGAATGGCAAAAATAAAAGTGCTAAAAGAAAAGAATACAACAACCACAAAATTACCACAGGGTGAACATGCTCAAGAAACATCAGCCTCAGTCAAGTACTTACAAGTAATAGGAGTAGGAATATGCATTTCTTCTAAATATCGATGACCAGTCAGATGAACAAAATGTCCAAAAAGGGGAAAAAAAAGAAAAGCACATAATTAGATTTATAGGAACCCTAGGATTCTTGGTCAATATACAAAGTGTTTGTGCTGCCTTTTGTACTGAGCTGCTATTCCCCTACAATTTTTTCCCAGGAGCTGTATGTCAGTGAGGAATAGATGCTGAACTGGAGACAGGTTGTACTTCCACTCCTGCCACTGACTTGTGTCACCATGAATAAATCCTCTCACCTCTTTCTGCCCTCATTTTGCCATGTCAGTACCATGGATAATGAGACTTACTTTTTGGCCTGTTAAGTGCTTTGACATTTTGGAAATGGAAAGAAATATGTAAGAGCTATTAATATAAATAACAATAAATGGGAAAGCAACAATGTAAGAACACTACAATTTTGGCATATTTAGACAATGAGCAAATTGTATAATGATAAATCAAGCTTCATCAAACTCTAAAATGCAAATTGTTCGTTACCAATTCAAGCATCACTCCATATTTATAGCTGAGCACTGGGGGGATGTTTTCTGCATCACTGTGATTAAGCATTTTCCACCACAGTTTCTCAACAATTCACTTCAGAACATTTTGATACGTGTTTGAGCAGTGCCACAAACTGAGCCTTGACAATCAGTTATAACTTAACAGGTGATGTTTTCCCTTTTAAAACTGGAAAAAGGCTGCCCTGAAAAGTCTGGCTCACAACAGACCTAGCCCAGGGTGTTCCAGACTTACAGCCAGGCACAAGGGAGCCCCAAAAGCAGCACCAATGGTCAAACAGAGAAAGGCAATAAAACACAAACTTCAACCAATTGCACAACTTCAAAATCCCATCCTTGAAGACACTACAATCCTTGGGAATTGCTTAGGAGTACAATGCAGGGTTCAAGTGTTCACTTTGGTGGTTGCTCTGAATACAACTTCCAGGAGCACATGTGGAAATCAGACTCAGTGCAGTCACTGTGCACACTCACCCTGTTCACTGTGCACACGTTGGGCAAAGGACAGTTCATGAGGATTAAACTGAACTGACACAGGTTTCCTGGTGGTCATCCTTGCTAGAAACCTGATATTCTGGCCAGATTCCTGATGTAGGCCAAGTTATCTGAATGACACTAATTCCAAGATCCACTTCAATGTATTTTAATATAATGCTATCATCTCCTGAAAGCCAGAAATTTTACAGGCCCTAGCAAGGCATCAGTTGAAGTACAGTGATGGCCACTGAGCTTCACTGTGAAATTCCAAGTTCCCCTGAACCTCTAAACAAAGGGAAAAGTCATATAATCATAGAATTTAGGGGTTGGGATGGACCTTACAGATCATCCAGCCCCAACCCCCTGCCCTGGGCAGGGACACCTCCCACCAGAGCAGGTTGCTCAAGGCTTTAGCCAACCTGTCTGTGAACACTGCCAGGGTTGGGGCAGCCACAGCCTCCCTGGGCAACCCGGGCCAGTGTCGCACTACCCTTAGAGAAAAAACCTTATTTCTCAGAAAAATGACCAGGATGTGGAAAATGAGAGCCCACAAAGCTGAACCCCCTAAACCCCTCAAATCAGTCCACTAAACTATCCCCTCTGAGAGGCCAGGGCAGGGTTGACACAGCACTATCAGCTGTGACTGTTCCCTTGAACATCCTGATGTACTTTCTGCTTGTCTCCTGTCTCGACCTGGAGACATCTGTGATCACACCACATCTCAGCTCTCACTGAAAGCTGCACATCCCTCCAGGCTGCAGAGGAAAGCTCAGAAAGATTTGCTCCATAAGGATAGTAAATAAAGTAAAACAGAAAAAAAAAGGAGGATTATGTTCTGGAATTGGACAGTCCATTTTGGCTCCAATTCTCCCAAAATATGCAGCCTAAAGGAAGGACTTCCTAAGGAATATTTCAAAGCTTGCTGTTAAAACTGGGCCAAGTTATAATTCACTAAAAATGTGATCTGGGCTTGGAATGTATCACACAGCCTGAAAACCCACTCACCCACCTTAAACACTGGGACAGGAGGGACAGGGATCACGAAATGTGCAAATAGCCTTCTGCTAATTCTATCCTATACCTTGGGTATGTTCTGCCCAAGAGGCTTTGGGGTTTTATTTAATTAGTTTAAGGTAACAACCTAAATCCTAATCCAGAATAAGGATTTTTCAGTGTGTTTTCCGTAGAAGGAAATAATCCTAGACCCTACATAGCCCCAAATCTTCTTTTTTTGCTACCGACAGCACTTTAAAGAACTTATTTGCAGTGCACCCATGACAGGCTGTCTGATCCTATTTATTCAGCCTTATATTTAAAGGGGTCAGTGGAGGTTTTGTCTGCTCAAACACACAAGCCTTAGAAGTGTCACACTCTTCACTCCAGGGAAATGCAAGTCACAATTACACCAGAATTAAAACTGTCCAGATGACATCAGAACTGACCAAAATCAAATCCTTTGGTGGGGCAAAGTCAAAGGGCATTTTCTTCAGAAAAGGGCAGAAAAGGGCATTTTCTTCAGAAAAGAATTTTACAAATGTCTTGGTTTTCTTCTTTCAGCTTGTTTTTACCAACTGGTCCTGTATTCTTTATTACACAAAAATATTTAACTCATATGAAGGACAAACAAAAAAAGCTCCTTAGAAAATTAGACATGTTTTAATACAATAAATATGAGGTATAACAAGATATATATCTGTTAATGAAAGAAAGCAGTACTGCTTTCTGTGGGCAAATAGACTCATATGGGCACCTCTAAATTAACAGACTAAATTATCACAGAATCCCAGAATGGTTTGGGTTGGAAGGGAACATAAAGATCATCTTGTTCCACCCCCTGCCATGGGCAGGGACACCTTCCACTAGCCCAGGTTGCTCCAAGCCCCATCTAATCAGGCTCTGAACACTCCCAGGTTTGGGGCAGCCACAGCTTCTCTGGGCAACCTGTGCCAGTGCCTCAGCACCTCACAGAGAAGAATATCTTCCTAATATCTAATCTAAATCTCCTCTCTGTCAGTGGGAAGCCATTTCCCCTTGTCCTGTCACTCCATGTCCCTGAAAAATGTTTCTCTCCATTGTGTGTCAGCAATTTGTATGTCGTACACATATGATGATGATGCTGTGATGTAACTCGTGCAGCTAGTGGGTTCCCAAAACCAAGCAAAAAAATTTTGTTAAGGGTTTGGATTTTATATACTGTAAGGCAGTCACATATAAACCAGAAATGTATATATACACACAATTTTTACATAGATATCCACACACAGAAACTTTGCAGACTCTAAGCCAACCCAGGTTTCAACTAAAACTTTTAGATAGCACACGGAAAGTCAAACTCACATTTTCCACTGCATAAACATTCTGTCTGGCTTAATTAATTTCACGTATCTGACTAAACCCTACAAAACATTGGCAGCCCCCAGAAACTTGTGAGTCACTGGAGTTTTTGCAATATGGTCTGTTGAAACGATGAGCAACTGGGCACCACTTGCTCATGCCTTGTGCCTGAAAGGTTCAGCACAGTGTGCTGCTAACTCAGTGTGTCTCACAGGACCAAAAAGCAGCTTCTGATGCTCTTCTCAAACCAGTGTCTGCCTTCTTTTAGTGCTTCTGTCTCTTCTAATCTCTCACTTTCCTTTGCTCTTTGCACTGGTTAACAAAGTGCTTCATTCAGGAAAGCCACCACTGTGCCAGTTACCAATGAGCTGTGATGCCCTGGGCCGTGAACAAATGTCACTGTGATATTTTCCACTTCTGTTTGAAGAAAACATCTCAAGTTTATCAAATTACTTTTCTGCATTGTTGCCTTGCAAGAGAACACTGCTTGTACACTGAGGCATTAGCCTTGGTGAACTGAGGAGGGAACTCTCTTCGAAGTGAGGTTAATGCAAAAAAAGCAATGCAAGAGCTTAAGCTCCTAATGCTTCTGTTTGCAAAACAGAAAGAGAAGTTTGTTGTTAAACTGTTCTCTCAGAAGAGCACAAGCTTTCAGCTCTGCTCCTCCAGAAGTTCCAATCAATTTGTGGTCCAAATTGGCTTCTCCTTTTATCTGTGCTGCTCCCAATCCACATTAGTTTATAAATGAAATGAGCCTGACAGGCTTAAGTTCATCTTCAGGGAACACTTGTCCATATGCAGCTCCAAGCATCAGTTGGACCTGGCTGGTGGTGCCCAGCCAAGGCAGACCCAGAAGCAATGGGATCAGCAGGTCTGTCAGTGGTGCTGGAGTTGTGCTACAGCCTCCAGAACCTCTTTCTGCACTGTTAGAGCTTCAAAATGGGAAAAGATTTTCAAACTGATGAGGCAGTTTATTTCTTATACCACTGTGTATTCCAGTGGGTAACCTTGCAAATGACAGCAAACAGGCAAAGAGGGATACAGACTGCAGGAATTTTGCCTGTTTGTGCTGGGAGAGTGGAAACAACACAGAGGAAAAAATTTTCCAGCTCTAGGAAGAAAAAAGGGAGAATTTTGATTTCTAATACTCCCACTCACCTCCTTTCTATTTCTAATTTTGAAGAAAGTTTCCCAGGTTTACAGACCCTATGGCAAAACCAGATATAGCTTAAAGATCATTCAATTCCACCCCCTGCCATGGGCAGGGATACCTTCCACTAGCCCAGGTTGCTCCAAGCTCCATCCAACCTGACCTGGAACACTCCCAGGGATGGAGCAGCCACAGCTTCTCTGGGCAACCTGTGCCAGTGCCTCAGCACCCTCACAGTAAAGTATTTCTTCTTCTTCTGGAGCTACAAGCTCTCAGGGGCAGCATTATGTAAATAGGTATTAACTGTTGCCCTCTAGAACACAAAAGGAATGTTTTCTCTCTACCAAATTTATTCTTTTTTTTGAAGCAACAACACTGTAGCCAGAAGATCCAAGATGGAAGCAAAGCAGAAACTTACCTTCTCTTGATGGTAAGCATTGCCCCCAAAAGGATAATAACAAACATCAGAAGACCAGCTATAACTCCAGCCATTTTCACTGTGCTGTCAACTTGTTTTTCTGGTTCCACTGCATTGGAATTCTGGGTGGAAGCTCCTTAAAAGATGGAAGGAAAGGAAGAAGAAGATAAAGAAAGAGTTTGTTGGAAAATTGTGCAACAATCTGCTTTAAATATTCACTCGAAAGCCTAACAACGAATTTGCAATCAAATTACAATAGACATTTGTCCATCTAACCAAATCTGCCTTTAATGAGGGCTAATGACAGATAATTCAAAGCAGTAATAGGGTGTAAAATCCCAGTGCAATGCAAATGACTCTACTGTTTTACTATATTATACTGTAATGGGGATTTTACTCTTCTGAAGCACTCAGCATACACCCAGAAAAAGCTATAACTTTAATCTCAAATAGGCTAAGTGGAGGTGCAATCCATACTCATCTAATTAATGAATGCAAGTTTGCAGTAACATAAAATAATAATAATACTTGCAAAAGGTTTTTCCTTCTAAAATCAGCTCAGATTTCTGTTTCTCACTGTACTGGTGGTCTGACTTTTGTAGACATACAGCTAAGATTATACATGTAACAAGCATTAATCCAAGGCACAGAGTACCCTCCACATAGTCTCAGGATGGTTAGGGTTGGAAGGGACCTTTAAGGTCATCTCATTCCACCCTCCTGCCATGGGCAGGGACACCTTCCACTAGCCCAGGGTGCTCCAAGCCCCATCTAACCTGGCCTGGAACACTCCCAGGGATGAAGCAGCCACAGCTTCTCTGGGCAACCTGTGCCAGTGCCTCACCACCCTCACACATCATCTAATGTACTCCTGATTTTGACTACAGCAGGCCAGAAATTTCTGAGGATTTTTTTTTTAAGAGTGAAGCCTACACACCAAGAAATAAAACATATTTAGGAACATTATTTGCACAGCATTTCTGCTTTTACTTCCCCATTGTGATCTGATTTTTTCTCCCTGCAGTAACTGAACACCTTGCAGAACGCTGCCCTCTCCCCTGGTGCTGGAACTACTTGCATAGTGCTTATTATATACCTTAGCTCTGCTGATTTCACTACTTGCTGCACAGAATTTTTCCAGATATAGCTTAAGCCACTAAGCTTGATTTAGAAAGCCCCACAAGATTTGAGTCATGGCTACTCTAAAGACTAAATAAGCCTATCTTCATTATAGTCCTGATACACTTAACTACTCCTAAAAATATTACCATCACAGTTAATTAAGTTCAATGAATTCATGTTACATGAGATCACACTCTGGTCTTGGGCTTCACCTTTGCTGGTGGAGTCAGCCAAGTCTTCCCCTACAGATCAAACACAGCAGGGAAAGGGAGTCAAAGGGGAAAACAGAGGCCTGACATCAGAAGGCCATAATCTTTTGCTCTTTTAACAACTCTGTGTTCCTGACTTTGAGGAAAACCTGAATCATTTCTGTCCATGGGAGGGAAATATCTCCCCACTCATTGGGGGAGATAATATTCCATAGAATCACAGAATTTGAGGGGTTGGAATGGACCTTAGAGATCATCTAGTCCCAACCCTCTGCCCTGGGGGGTTGGGACTCTGTCAAACAGAGTCCATATGTTGGTGAGAGAGTAGAAAGCCTCACTGGGTTATTCTTTTGCCCATTTGCCACATGTTAAACTGTATATGCTTGAAAACATCTCTGTTTGCAAGATTGAGTCCCAATGATTTCCATGATGAAATCATGGGGGTTGGAACTAGATGATCCTTAAACTGTATATGCTCGAAAACAGTTTGCAAGAATGAGTCCCAATGATTTCCATGATCAAATCATGGGGGTTGGAACTAGATGATCTTTAAGGTCCCTTCCAAGCCAAATCTTTCTGTGATTCCATGATATAACCCAATATAGGGTTTCCTATATTGATGGACTTCCAGAGATGAGGATCTGATCCTGAACAAAATGTTATATCCCACTCCCATCACATCCTAAAGAGCACATATAGAAAAACGACACAACAAATTCAAAACAGGAAAACTCACCCCATGCAGCGATAAAAGCATGATTTCACTTCTCCTACAGCTAAGCTGTTCATCTGGTTTGCCAGTGCAAAACACAATATTTACCAAGCAAAAAAAAATAATAAAAAATGCTGGCTCTTGGAAACACACATATAATTTGCAGCTTTTTGTCCCTGACAACTCCACTGCTCTGCTGAATTCACCAATTTGCCCCTTCAGTTAAGAGTTCACTGGTAACTTCTGTGCTCACATGTCTGAAATGCAGTAATGGGACGCCAAATCAGTTGCATATTACCATCTTTATTTCATAACATCTCTTACAGTCCTGGAGTACATCTGTCCAAGAGGTGAGCTATGTGCCATCAGATGAGACAATCCTGACACTGTCACACAACAAAGTCAGTGATGAAGGTACAATTTCTCCCTGAAAATGGCTACAACTCTATTCATTTGAAGTGAAAGTCGGAGTACTCCAAATTATCCTTCACTTGAGTTGCAGTTACTCCTATGACCCTAAATAATAGGTGTTGAAGAATGGTTTTCTACCACAAGCAGCACAGTCAGTCCCCCCCTCATTTTGCACCATCTGAATACCCTGGTGAAGTGTGAGCCACGTTAAAAAAATTAGAGTGTGCTGTCAACTCCATCCTCTAATCTACTAGATTGGTTTGATTTTGCCAGGCTGTTGTTTGTTACTACAGGCAATGTGTGGTCAGTGTGTTTTTATCTGATATTTCTCAGCCCATTGTAGGCTACTGCAGTTCTGGAAGGAGAATAAAGGCTCATTATCCATCCTGACACCTACACACTGCAGTGACTGATTCACTCAAATCTTCTCTGTAACTCTTTCTGTCTGTCTTGGCAAAGGCCAACAATTCCTTTAGGCCACTAGTCCAACCATTTGTAAGTTGTCTCAGCTAATAGTGCCCAGGAATTGATAACGTGACAGGGTAGGTAAATTCCTGGCTCTGGGATTCTCCAAGCCTTGCAATGAAATATTATTGCCAAAGTCCATTGTTTTCCTGCTGTTCTGGAATATTTTCCTTGTGGTTGTTTTTCTTCTGGTTACTTGTACTCCCCACCTGCCCCACCACCAGCTGTAGGTAAGAACCTATAGAACCTACTCCTATCCTGGCAGAGATGACTTGTGCTGCTCCTGAGAGAAATGCTGACTAAGAATTCAGTTTTACTTTTCTCCTTTATGGACATGAAGGCAGAATCCAAATGCTCTGAGCACAGCAGCCCATAAAATCTGCTCTGATAACCATTTCATACAATATCCTTAAATACACTTGGAGAGCTCTGCACTACTGTAACTTGAGGGGCCAACCCTTTTCCCTCTGAAAAACAATGTATTGCTAATATTAAAAAGGAACAAAAATAAACTGTAACCATATATTCTAGTGGTTACTTCCACCACATTTCCTGGAATAAATTGTTCCTTGTAACACAAGTTGGGTACTGGAATAATAGGCCACAGAACAGGTCACCACTGTTATTAGTGTGTGTATTTCAGTGGCACCCAGAGCCCCTGCTAAGGTCAGGACCCCATTACACTGTACTAACATGAAGTAGGACAATTTTCTGCCCTAAGCTTCCTTCCTTAATAAGGAAGGCAAATGATAGAAGACAGTGCCAGAGGAGAGAAGACTGTAGGTCCCCTGACTCCCTATCTGTGCCTTATCTACTCCACCAGGCTACTACTAGCAGAGATACACATTTCTGTATTCTACAAAATGCACCAGCAGCTTGGCCAGTGGCAGGAAAATTACTTCCACAGGCACCAGCATTTACCTAGCCAGCACTCCAGTTGTCATTCAGAGGTCTTTCAACACTTTAGTCCTTTCCTACCAACCCAATTGACTTTGCTTCTTCAACCCCTTTCCAAATTCCAGCGTCTCACAGCATGACAGAAGATGCTACAACCAGCAGAGTCATGGGAGGTCATGTTCTGATGATGCTGCAGAGATGCAAAGAGAGCAGAGCAGGGGCAAATGGCTAATTGCCCTGAGCCTTCCAGCCCATGAGAACTCAGGTTTATGGATCATCAAGCACTGAGGGTTTAATTAAGGTTTTGATTAAGGTCTAATCTAGCCATGCTGCTGTGGATTCATAGATACTTAGACCAGGTGCACCTGCTGAAAGCATGATATTGTGCTTTCATCCTTGTGGGTTTCAAACTTTTTAAATTCCCTCTTGCTTCAGATCATGCTTATAGCTGGCTCTGCAGTGACTGGTAACTTAAGGACAAGAATTTTGAAATTTTAAATTGATTTCAGCATAAGAAGCTGCCATTTGCATTCCAGAGTTAAATCTTTCACATTCCTTCTGCTGAAAGTGTTTCTGCCCACAAGAAAGAAGAGATGACCTGTTCAGTACTTTGAGCTGGAAGATGGCTTGCAAGTGATTCCAACAACCTAAACACAAGTTTTTGCCAGTCATAACTAAAGAGAAGAACCTTCTCAAAATGCTAAGGAGGTGGAAAATCACCCACTTACCAGCAGGCATTCCTACATAGTGCTATACATGCCTTTCAATCCTCTTAATGCTCATGCAAGGTAAGGAATCAACTATGGTATTTACTTTATAGATCTGGAAAGATTAAGGATTTGCTTTTGGCATCACAGGCACCCGAGAGCAGAGCTGAGGACTGACACCCTGGGACAATTCCATCAGAACATGCAACCTCTCACAGATGAAGATGGGGAAGACAGGAGGGACAGAGGGAGAAACAGCAACGACAGCTAAGGAAAAGATACCATGGAAATCTTTCATCCAGCAATTTAGGCATGAGCATATTATTTGAAAATAAGCCACCAGATATAAAGCAACCTTCTCTGTGGAGGTGGCACTCTGAAAAACATGCAGGGAAGAATGATTATTGAGTGCATGCAGCTAAGCAGGACTGATAATACAAATTTCTTCTATAAAATCTATTTCACAAACTGCAGTTTGAAATGTTCTTTACTTTAAGCAGCAGTTACAATATTACATTTTTTAAAAATATAACTGTCAGGAAAGAAAAAAGAATCCGAAAGAGCCATAACCAGTTGAAAAAGTCAGGTATTTAGGAGATATTTCCAACTGGTT